TCCTCCCTCACCCCTCCTCTCCCTCACCCCCTCCTCTCCCTCACCCCTCCTCTCCCTCACCCCTCCTCCTTCACCCCTCCTCCTTCACCCCTCCTCCTTCACCCCTCCTCCCTCACCCCTCCTCTCCCTCACCCTCATTATTATTGTAAACATTTCTCATCTGGTTCAGATGTGTTGTTTCTGTTGTGTTTCAGGGTCACATGCCGACCCACCAGCTGCTCAGGAAGTATGACCTCATGCAGTTTGCAGACGTCACTAAGGGAGTGAGGTGAGCAGGGGGCGGGGCTTAGCTGAACAGGAAGTGAGCTCAGAGTGTGCAGGTGATTGACAGGTGTGTGTTTCAGTGAGGGGAACCTGCTGCTGCTGAACGAAGCTCTGAACAAACACGAGACGTTCTTCATCCGCTGCGGCATCTTCCTCATCCTCGAGAAGCTGAAGATCATCACCTACAGGAACCTGTTCAAGAAAGTGTGAGTACTACTGTGTGTATTACTACTTTAGATCTTTAGCTACATGGGCTCAAGCCCCGGATGTTTTCTGAAAAGCCACCAGAGAGGCAGCCGCTGCGGGACAGTAGCCTGCGTACTGCGCAGCCTTCCCTGCCCTGAAGAAGAAGGGATCCTTCCTAGAGCCTGACCAGTTTTAAGCTAATAGCCTATAAAGTTATGGATATGAGAAAGTTATTTTCATTGAAGCAGGCGCCACAAGCTGCAGCAGCAGCAGCAGTATCAGCAGCTGACAACAATGTCATCACCAGCAGTGAAGAGATGGATGATGTTTCAGGTTTGAGAATCTAATGGTGATATCTGCAGTCTGGCTGACTGAGTAAGAAGTGAAAAAGAGTGATGTAACGTTAATGTTATAGTAAACATGGAGTAACCACACTAAGTATACCCTCATGTGTTAGTATGTTTACAGAACATGACTACAAATGATCCTAAGATGTAACGTTAACCCTTCATACCTCAGTCTACCTTTAAGACACTAAAGCAGGGGTGGGGAACCTTTTTCCTCTCAAGGGCCATTTCAATTTTTTCAACATCCTCCGAGGGCCGTACAAATGATTGACCTCTGCCTAAAAATACTAAAATCACAGCCCATTCATTTGGCCTTTCTTTCATGCTGTGCAAAGAAAAAGAAACCTCTCAATCCAGATATCTCACCATGACTCGTATGCATTCACGTGCACGGTGTGGCATGACCACCCAAACAGAAAGATATGGACACAAGATGTGTGCAAATGTATTTAGTGTCCTATCCATGTGGACATGATTTGAGTGTGTGGGGGGGAGGGGGACCTAACCTCCTCTAGGGGAGTCTGGGGGCATGTTCCCCCGGGGAGATTTTTTTTTTTTAAATGTTGAAGTTGAAAGCATCAATCTGGTGCACTTCATTTTCTTTTAACATAATTATTGTGTCTTGAAAGTCAAACTTTCGCCCGTCTAACATTTTATAGGGTACTTCTTTTTTTCTTTTAGACTGAAGGTCAAAGAAACCCACAATCTCTGACAAAGTATTCGAAGGAGTAAA